TATTCATAAATGAAGGCTACTTAAAATGTTAAAAAAAATAATATAAATAAAATAAAAAATTAAGCATTTATTTTATTAATAAGTAAATAATGAATGTACTTTAACAAATAAGTATGCACTTTTGTTCATTTATGAATAAAAAGAGTTAAAACTATAAAAAAATTATTTATCTTAAAACTGTATTAATATTAATTTCTGTTACAGACACTATATTTAAAATTGTTTTCGATAAAAATAGCTTCTTAAAATTAATAAAAACGAAAAAACTATATTTTGTATATATTAAGTTAATGGTTAGTATAGTTTAAGTAAAATTTATTTTCTCCTATTCTTAACAACGTTTTCTTAGTTAAACTAACTCATACTCTCTCTCTCTCTCTCTCTCTCTCTCTCTCTCTATATATATATATATATATATATATATATATATATATGTATATATAGAGAGAAGGAAGAAATACACACTCTACTAGGAAAAAAGCCTTTCATGACACACATTTCATGTCATAAAAGTGTACATATGACACATACATGCATGTTATTATAGACTTATTTTTTTTGAACAGCAGGCAAATATATATTAAAAATAAACTAGCCAGATGCTAGAAATACAAAACATTAACGAAAACAAAACATAAAAAAACCACAGTTTATAGCCTGCTATTGCATTCTAGAATCGGATCGCTACACCATTCATACCACCTCAGGGTCTGACCTTTCTTCTTTCTAGCATTGATCCAAAAATTCGAGAGTGATTTCACTTCATAAGCCAACGCCGGTATCGATTTTTGAATTGGAGCATGCGAATGAGCCCTTACATTCCGGTATTTCCAGATCACCCAGATATATGTTAGCATTATAGCTTCATGGATCCAAGCTAGCCTTTGATGCCCTGCTACATTCCGTTTACTATGCATCAGATCACTAATTGAGACAAGAGGGAAATCAAATAACCGCCACCAATTGCATATAAGCTGCCAAACTTCCCTCGACACCGGACACTCTAAAAAAATATGTTGTTCAGATTCCGGATCACCATGGCAGATCCTGCATAGATTTGAAGAGCATATACCGAATCTTAATAAGTTGACCATAGTGGGTAGCTTCCCGTGACAGATACGCCATGCAAGAATATTTATCTTTCCTGGGGTCAGCGGATTCCAGGACCATATACCAGCACTATCTGGAAGAGTGAGTTTGTCAATGAGGCATCTAAATGACCTGACCGAAAAAACTCCAGAGGGTTCGAGAGACCATGACCATCTGAGAGACCCATTAGAATTCAGAGAATGGAGAAAGTGATTTGAAAATGATACACCGTCCTTCTCAAGGATTTTTGGAATATTTGCAAAGGTGCCCTAGCAGCCGCTTTTCCTCTTCGCAACTGAAGGCCTGTCAAAACCCCCATCAACTCCATAGATAGATTTTATTACCTCCACCCACGAACTCTCTGGATAGTTCCTGAATCTCCACCACCACTTCCCCAACAGAGCTAAATTTTGAGCCTTTAAACTGCCGATTCCAAGCCCGCCACAATCATAAAGAAAGCCGACATGTTTGTGTGTCGTAAGCTTACATAAAACATTTACCAAATGCATTTTTGACACTCATTTAAGACATGCATTATGTGTCATTAAAGCCTTTGTTGTATGATTTCTAACTTCATAACTCTAATATTTCGAGTTCCAACTTCAAAAAACCCTATTAACGATTTACCCGGTTGACTTTTACATATGATTTACAATTAATTAGGATGATAAAACCTAACTCCTTGATAATCTATGCATTATTAAATCCTTATTAAATTTATTAGATTTTCCCTAATCATGAACCGGAAGGACTCCATTACGTTTTAAACTATATATCAACAAAAATTACATTAAAATCGCATCATTAACGTAATTAATTACTTAAAATTTGACCTCCCGTAGATCAAATGTTGGTTTGATGAAGCTAGGGTTTAAAAACCTTCATTACAACTTAATGAACTCAAACTCACAGTAGGAATACGACTACATCACCAGATTTTGTGAAAAATAAAGAATTAATATGTAAAACCTAATCATTTAAAAAGTTCCAACATATTTTTTATAATTTTTGAATGTTTATTAAATTGGAAGATTGGAAAATAACTAAAGAACTTATTCCTTTATGTTAAGGACTTGAGGCGTAGTTTAATTTTAAAACTGTCAACTTTTGTTGTCTAAAAACTATGTCCCAAAAGAATATTTTGACTAAATATTTGTTGTTTTTAAAAAAGACTGTATTTTTTAAAGTTTCAATATATATATATATATATATATATATATATATATATATATATATATATATATATATATATATATATATATATATATATATAGAGAGAGAGAGAGAGAGATGTTCATGTGAGACGACCTAATTTTGTGAGACCGTGAGACGCATTTTTTTTATTTTTTTTAATTAATTCAAGTTCCGAAAATAATATTTAAAAAAAGAATTTTTGGATTTTTCCATTTATTTTGCATTTTGAAATTACTTTTTAGAATATATCAGTGTAATATTCTCTTAGAATATTTCACGTATTTTTCAAAAAAAATGGAATTTATTTTTATTTTTTTTAGTTAATTCAAGTTCCGAAAATAATATTTAAAAAAATAATTTTTAGATTTTTCCATTTATTTTGCATTTTAAAATTATTTTTTACAATATGTCAGTGTAATATTTTAATTAGAATATTTCACTTATTTTTTTAAAAAAAAAACGGAAATTTTTTTTTTTAGTTAATCCAAGTTCCGAAAATAATATTTAAAAAATAATTTTTGAATTTTTCTATTTATTTTGCATTTTAAAATTATTTTTAGATTTGATCTCACGATCTTACAAAATTACAATGGTTTTAAATAAACCTAAACATATATATATATATATATATATATATATATATATATATATATATATATATATATATATATATATATATATATATATATATATATATATATATATATATATATATACACACACATTGTTATTGATTCTCATGCACACTTTTAATTATAACTTAAAATATATCATTTAACTACCCATAGACTTTTATTACAAAGTTAGAAATAGGTTCACTGATTTAAACATTTTATGTGTTACATAAAATTTGTAGGATAATCTCTATGTAAAATTAACATACTTACATATTTTGCATATACTCTATTTGCATGTTCGTCAAAGTATCATCTTAATCACCATTTTAAAAAATTCAAAATGATCATTCAATTTTTATATGAAGAACATCTTTATCATACAAAATATCCGGTAATCCAGAGAGAGACACAGGTGCATAAAATAGCTTTGCTTTATCGTATAATCCTTTATGTTTTTGTAGTTGAAGGTAAAAGGAAGGGATTATCTCTATTATATGATATTTTTATATATAATAAAAAGATAAATAGAAATTAAATTCTAATAGTGGTTAGCGCAAAATTATAACATGTCAAAGTAGTTGCACCTTCAAAGGGATCTATATGAATCAAAGAAGGTGTCTTAATTGCAAGAAGGAATGTGTGGGTATCACACCTCGATTATTCCTACCCGACGTAATCAAGGGAAAGCACATTTTAAAGTCAGAGAGAGAGCAATTACAATGAATGTATGGACTCCTTTTCCTCCCTAACAAAACACGAAAGGAAAATAAGCAATAGATAATTAGCAGCTGCTTGCTTAACTAGTATATTGAAGACATAGTCTTTTATACAAAACACATATTAACAATAAATAACTACACTGGCTTCATATGGATTAGTGGGATTAGTATTTGCAAATGACATATATTAAGAGAAAATTACAATTAAAAGTTGATCAATTTATCACAATATCACTCTCTCAAATCCATCACCTAAACAATGATGAGTACAAGAGTAGAATATAAGAAAAATATTTTATTGAAATTGACAAAAACCATAATTAAACAAATTTAATATCAATATCATGCTAACAATTCTTATGTAGAATCAACAAATAAAGAATCATAATAAAAATGAAAATAGAGGATGGGAGAAGATAGCATGTTTGAGATATTATACCTAATTTTGAACGATAAATCTTCATTGATGTTTTTAAACTCTTCGTTAATTTACCATATTATTTAGAGAACTATGAAGCGCAAGGTTGATAAGAGAAAACGGTGGGCATGGGAAGTGACCGGGGTGGTGATCTATTCAGAATTAGTTATGGGTTTTTTTTTAATGCCTATGTTAGTATTTGTCTTTGATTAAACTCAAAACTTTATGGTTAGAAACTTTTAGTTTAATATCCTGTTAGTCAAGTGTTTTAGTTCCAACTTGTATATCAAACTATTGTATGTAATAATATATAAAAACAAAAAAAGATTATAACACCATATACAAGAGATCATATACAAGAGGTAATTATATATTAAATAAGAAATTGAAATTGAAGAGAATATAAGATGTTAGAAAAGTACAAACTACCATTATAATATTTACCAAAAGTCAAAAAAGAAAATTCACTTTTTACTTTTTATAGCAACATAGTTTTGGAGGCAATGTACGTGTTGTTTTTAATTTTTCATAACATTATATTTTTTTATGTGATTTTTAACCATGTCAACCAATATTAATAGAAAACAAAATTCATCAACCGATTAAAACTGTTAAGTGAATCCAATTGTAATGGCTAACCAATGTTTACCTAAATGCAATAAACGATCTAAATGGATACGGTTCAATTTTTACTTAGAACCAAACCAAACCCCATATACACCATCCTAGAGGCTATACAAATACCCACAACAAAACAAAAAAACCAAAAAGGGTGATCGATGGCTCAACATATGAACCTTTTACATTTATTAATAGCGAAATAAACTCCACTAGTTTTTAATGTTAATTGCCTGTCAAAAACCATCCAAATACATGAACTCCCCTTGCATTTTTTACTTTATTTACGATTCACACTCCTTATATATTCCACCACATTCATTTCACTTGATAACCTATCTTTCATCTTCACCTGGCTATCAACCCATGGAGATTCCCTTGAAGGCTTCACTTTTGAAAATGAATGCTCCAATTGTCGATTTAGTCAAGAAAATAAAGAAACTTGGAAAAGAAGATCCAAGAAGAATCATGCATTCCTTCAAAGTGGCGTTAGCAATCACATTAGTCTCCATGGTTTACTATCTTAGACCATTATATAAAGGCATGGGTGAAGCAGGCATCTGGGCTATCTTGACTGTCGTCGTGGTGTTTGAATATACAGCCGGTGAGTTGATTAAAATCATCCATGAACGAAAAAAAATGTTTTTTTTCCCTTTCATTTTTCCTTCCATTATTTCTAAATCTTGTTGTTTACATAAATTAGGTGCAACCTTATGTAAAGGTATGAATCGAGGCTTAGCAACTTTACTAGCTGGCGCACTAGGACTCGGGGCTGAATACTTTGCTCGTATATTCGGACCAAAAGCCGAATCCATTGTTCTTGGATGCCTTGTCTTTCTTCTAGGTAAACCACTTAATTAATCCACAAATATTAACACATTCGCGAATTCTTTTACTCGTTTTAACTTAGAATCTTTCTACTCCAGTCGCAGCAGCCACCTTTTCAAGATTTATTCCTCATATAAAAAAGAGATACGATTATGGGGTGCTGATTTTTATCCTCACGTTCAGTTTAGTAGCTGTGTCGGGTTATCGCGTTGAGAATATAATGGAGCTAGCACATCAACGGTTATCGACAATCATCTTAGGTGGTGCCACGTGTATAATTATCTCCATATGTGTTTGCCCTGTATGGGCTGGGGAAGATCTTCATGTTCTTATTGTTTCCAATATGGAAAAGCTTGCAAGCTTCTTAGAAGGTACGTATGATCATGTGTATATAGTTTATGTGAATGAGCTATTATACTAATAGTTTTATTATTTTATGTTAAGTTGATGATCATAAAGCTCAAACCCACCGTTTTACTGTTATTCGTTTTTAATTACGATGGGATTCTGCAGGATTTGGTGGAGAAATATTCCAACTTCCACTGGAGGTAGAGAGTGCTGATGGATCCAATGAACCTGACAAATCTTTTCTTGGAGCGTACAAAAGTGTTCTGAATTCTAAAGCCATGGAGGAATCTCTGGTCAGTTTATGAATGATTATTATACATGCGTTATGTATACGTATATAAGTAAATATGTGTGTGTATGTATGCATATATGGATAAAGTTTATAGTTAGGCTAACGGATTGATATGTGGAAAGCAGGCAAATTTTGCATGGTGGGAACCAGGACATGGTAAATTTCGGTTTAGTCATCCATGGAAACAGTATTTGAAGATTGGTGCTCTTATGCGGCAGTGTGCATACCATTTTGAATCTCTAAATGGATATTTAGATGCAAGATTCCAAGTATGAATTCATTAAACATTTTTTATCTTCTATTTTATGTTCATGCAACGTTTAATTCTAAACTTAAAACGGATACAAAAACAGAAAATATATATTATATACTAGAACTGATTTTTTTTGAACGATTTCTTGTCTAATTTTATATTAACTAAAATAATATTTCTAGCGAGGGATAGAACTCGTATCGCCTTTGGAAAAGACAATTTTTTCAATTCCAAATGCCGATAGGCTATAAGTATTTTTGGTAAGAACATAAATAACTAGTGCATTATACGTTTCTAAATATTATCACCAATTTTGAGAACATAATAAATGTTGATTTATGAATTCTTAATGGATTATGTTTACTAAATTAACCGGCTAATGAAAATGCATTAAATGCTTTTAACCGGATGTTTGCGAGTGGAAAAACAGCTATGTCAATAGTTTGTTACAGATAAATAATTATTAAATCTTATTATTAGTTATTACTTAATAAAAAATTATCATTTTAAAATAAATTTATTATGTTTTTACCTTGTCTTTATATTATTTATGTAAATTAATTAATATTGATGTTTAATTTAAAATTTTAGTTAATTTATGCACATGATTTTAATATTTAAAAATTTCATTTGGTTTCAAATTGAATTTCTTAATTAGTTTCCATAATTTAAGTTTACAAACTTTTGGCAACTATTAATTAATTATTTATATATAACTGATTTGTTAAAAAAAAAATAAAAAAAATAAAAAAAGACCTTTATAATTTATACATCTTAAAATTCAAGACTAATATTTTTTATAATATAGTATAAAATAAATATTAAATTTTAATGTCTAAGTACCACAAGAAAATTTGTGCATGCACATAATATGATATTCTATGTGCATTATAATGGTTAAAGTTATTTTAAATACAAATTTATCCATAGCAAAAACAAAATGTCAATTTTCTAATATACATATATGTATATGAGTAGGAAAAATGAAAGAAAAAAAAGGCTTTTGTATACTATAAATAACGATTATTATTAATTATTTTTATCTTGTTAATATCTTACAGACATCGTCTGAATTTCGGAAAAGAGTTCAAGGACCATGCACAACAATGAGCTCTGAAGCAGGAAAAGCTTTGAAAGAATTAGCACTATCAATAAAAGCATTCTCATATCCTTCTAATTCTGCTATGAATATACAAATCTGTAAGAAGGCAGTAGATGAAGTCAATTCCACGTTGCAAGCTTCAATGGTGGGAGAATGCGACATTCTTGAAATAATACCAATTATTACCGTCATTTCAATACTAAATGACATTGTAAAATGTGTCGAAACAATCTTTGAGGCCATTGAAGAACTTTCGGAACAAGCCAATTTCAAAAAGTCACCACACGAACCAGAAAAACCACAGATTCTTCATGGTGGAGTTGTAGCACCTGTTGGTGATAAGGAAGATGATAGTGGATTTGTTACTGTAATTATACATAAGATAGCTCCTCAATCATTGGAAATTCAGACCCTTCGGGGATAAAACTAGGACCGAACAACTAAAGGAATTAATATGCATAGATTAGAAAAAACTAACGTAGTATATGGAAGGTTAATAATAGCAGATGATGCCAGGCTAATTCGAATGTGATGTTGGGTTGATGCGTTGATCGATCTTGAGGCCTGTAAACTGATTTATTAACATAATTCTTTCAATAATACGGAAACCAAAAGTGGCTTTTTTATACAATGGTATGTATGTCATTACAAGAATTGATACATCGCCTCTATTTCGTGGTAGTGGGTCATATCATTGGGACAAATCCCATCACTAAAATATCGTCGCATCAGAAACTTGTCATCGGTGAGAATTTTCATTGCCGACATTTTTCTTTAAGATTGTTGTTTGTAAGAATAAACGATGTCGACTCTCCAACCGTTACTACACAAACTAATATCGGTTAGATAATTAATTTATTCTACGCATTGAATCAGGTTCTATGGTTGGTATGTACCCTTGAATGTCGAATGCATCATTGGAGTAATCTCAGTCCATGGACTATCCTTTCTATTACAACATTTATATTAATGTTTGAAAGGATATAGTGAATCAAATTGTTCACAAAGGCTAACTTATCCTTTTCCATAGGATTCCCAATAAGGATACCCTACAGTACATTTCTTATGATGGATTCCAGGCACTATTACAAACACTACAGACACTATAGACATTACTACAGTATAAACAATACACTATGTTTTTAGGAACAAAGAACGTACTCTTTTCTAGTACAAAACATACTTCTCCAAAAGAGTGTTTAACTTGGTACATATATACCAAAAGGATTACATACAAACATGACTATAATTCAATGCTTTTACATGTGTGAGTCAACAAAACTTTCATTTCCTTACATCAGAAGATATAGGATTTTCTAGAGGAACAAACCAAGGCTTTCAAGGAACAAAGAACATACTTTCTAAATACAAATGCTTATGAACTCACCAACTTTATTGTTGACACTTTTTCAAACCACTTGTATTTTCAGGTCACTAGTAAACAGATACACGTACAGGGTTCCAGATGGCAGAGCATTGTAGCTTCAAGTCTTGTGTTACTAATGACGTTTGGAGTGAATCATATGTGATTCACATACAATGTAAACACTATATTATCAATACAATGGTGGTTGTTGTTTTGATTATTATTATTCATTTGTTATCATACTATACATGATCTCCTTCACCCCCGAACGTTTCTGCCATCTCGGTTTGGGGGTGTGACACAAATACATACGAAAACTATGTTGGTACATAATTCTAAGCAATCTATAATAACTCTTAACAGCTCACAATTCGGATCATTGAGTCATGCTATCAAAATACATCTCTTCGCGATCAAACTAAGCATGCTCTTTCTTTAAGCTTCCTTTCTCTCCTTCGATGCTACAAAGCATCAAAATGTAATTACATTACATCAAGTATTAAGAATCTCGAAATATGAACTTTAATGGAGTTAGATAGTTGACTTACTGAACCAGAGTCATACATTTTGAATTTACCATCCTTGTGGTCCTTCAGGTACATACGGAAGCTTCACAACCAATGACTCTTCTCTTGGCAGTAGAAACAAATAGATTCTTTTTAAATGGTACATGGGTGTCATCTTGCAACCTATCCAGTCGATGGATGTCAGAAGTGTGAACTTGTACTTCCACATTGACTTCGCGAAGTCCGTTTGCTTGGACCCCAGATTGATAGGACTGGTTGGCTAGTTTGCCCACCATGACCGAGAGTGTTCGGTCGGCTGAACCTCCATCCCTGATATCATAGAAGTCCTGAAACATACCGTAGGGAGGACGTATCCCTTATTGTTGGTTCCAATGGTGAAGATGACTTCCCCATACGGGATTTGGTCCTTGAAGTTTCCTTCTAACAGCTGGAGGTTGAGCGGATGGAGGGTCGATTATTTCTGGTTCTGAGTCTGTCCCAGAGTCATCCTCTTCCTCCAACTCGATAGGTTCTTCATCCTCTTCGGGATCCTCCTCTACCCATCATCCATTGCCCTGATTCGGTTAGTAGGGGTCCCCTGGTGGGTGGAATCCAGCCATTTGACTATACGAGAATAGGGTTATAAGAATTGAACAAAATTTGAAAACATGTAACACTAAACATGTCGATTAAACTATTGCATGCACCAAATATTCCTATAGTATTTGAATTTGTATGCTTGATACTAGTGGTTATTTTGGTCAATTTTGAGTTGTTGCTCACTAAGACCATCCCTCGATATATGTTAGTCCAATCTCGGATAAATATAGTTGATCAGGCTATATTCGTTCCAAATTCGATTACATATTTCGAGGCCTAATCGTAGTGTCCAACTTGTCTTAATACTTCTTGTATAGTTCTAACCATGAAAATATATTGTTGAATGCATGTATTTGTACTTTTACGACCCAAAATAATCTAAATTAAATGAAACGAGGTTTTAGGTGTAAAAACGTTTTATCAGAGACCTTGAGTCCCTATGCATTTATAGTTTGTATATCTTAAGTGGTTTGATATACTTAGTTCACTATAAACAATGCTCTGATACCAATCTGTCACACCCCCAAACCAGAACGGTGGAATCGTTCGAGGGCGGATGACTTCATATAGTATCGCAACAATTGAATAGATAGTAAAGAAAGTAATACAACCATCATATATATAATTTAAAAGTTTACATTGTTGAAAGGTACTTGTTTCAAAAACAAATTACAATATGATGTCAAAATGAATTTAAACTAAAGTCGCTGCGTCCCTTCTTCAAAAGTTGTAGTTTACCTATATTATTGAATCCCTAAGAAATACAAGTGGTTTTAAAAGAGTAGGTCAGCATTTAAGCTGGTGAGTTCATAAGTATTTAGTGACAATGGCTATATGAAATAGAATGAAAATGGTTTGTACATGTTTAAAAGTTCCTAGAAAATACCATATTTTCTACTATAGTAGATGGTAGTTTGATTGTTTCAAAACCGTAATGCAATAGTGTTTTTCATGCCTAAAATAGGAGGTTTATGTATAAATCGTTAAGGCATTTGAAAAACCCCTTAAATCAATGTGTTTTTAATACTCCATGTGAATCTTATAACCATACTAGTTGACCAGGATGCCTATAACAACGTTCTTCAGGCATTGGAAAGTTATGATGTTTGTCACCCCAGGCCTACTGGCCTAACTGTAGCTAACAACTTAGGTGTGGGATTGTCAATCTCGTATATATCTATACATAAGTATCACGCTCCCCCTAAAAGGGATTATGGTATATAATACAGGACTTCAAATGCATACTCGAAAGTACGTGAAATGTATCACAAAACTTAGTATAAAACAGATTTACTTATGAAAATGTCCATTTGTTCTTGTGTATGAAAATATCTCTTTGATATAGTGTTTCTAGTATGTAAATGTTCATTATTTTTTCATAAACTATACCTATTATAGTTTTTTAAACTATGTGTTTCGTTCATATAGTAAACCCTAGTGTAATGCTCACTTGTTATGTAAAGTATAACATTTAAAGTGACATAAATGATCACATATGCTTAAAGTATAAATAAAGTGTTTGATTCGTATATATATATATATATATATATATATATATATATATATATATATATATATATATATATATATATATATAAACATGTTTTATTTCCAAAAGACAAGATGTTATCGAGAATATATATTGTATACGAAAGTTCTCATGTAGTGGTTATGAATCACATATGATTAATAGATAAAAAAAAGTTTATATAGTGAAACTTTACGTTACACACGATAATAACCGTGTGTTTACTTGCATTCCCTCCCTTCAAAGTGTATAAAAAGCATTTATCAAACATTTAAAAGCGTAGTTTACAGGGGTATGAACTCACTTGATAGATCGAAGAAGGTGAGACGAAAACCAAGCAGAACTTTGACTTGAGAAAGCGGATTTTCTCGGGAGCGTAAACTTCCTTCGGGGATTGAGTATGGAAACCAGGGATTTGGGATATTACTTGCACGCAAAACAAAGTAAAAACGCAAGAAAGAGGAGAGAAATGAGCAATTTACCCGGAACCCTCACATCCCTTTTATAAGGGCTGGGAACCGCCTCGGTACGTTGGGCGTACGCGTACGTCATGCATAACCGCATCCTCGGCTGCCGGAGTTCGGATGGGACGGGACATAGCGACGTAGAGGGGCGACGTGGACGTTCCGAGGCCTAGCACTTGAGTACGCTGGGCGTAACTCGGATTGGCCCGGTGACTCCTCCTTCGGATAATACTGAAATTTTATTTAAATTTATATTTTAATTATTTAGTAAATTTCAAAAATTCATATCTTCTTCATAAGAACTCCGTTTTCGACGTTCTTTATATCCACGCGTAGGTGAGACTACACTCTACAACTTTCGTTTATACTCCGTCGACAAATTTTGAAATTATTTTTATTATTTATTTTTAAAAGGTCGGGGTAGGAAAAGTTCGTTAAAAATCCATAACTTCTTTATCCGATGTCTGTTTTTGCCAAACTTTTTACCATTGAAATACCATTGTCGAGACCTTCGATTCTCATTTAGGTAATTCCGGCCAAAAGTCGCTCGCTCTTTGTTTTCGAGTTTTTAGCTACCTACCACTATACCAAACTTGGAAAAATCATAACTTCCTCATACGAAGTTAGATTTGGACGTTCTTTTTATGTACGCTCACGGTTTAATGATATCTAACATAGTAGGTAACCAAATAGAGACTTTTGTACATTTTATTTTCAAAGTTAATTTCATTATTTTCAAAAGTGGTTACAATATTTGGCTTTTTAGGTCATTACATAGAATCGACATATCGGGTTGTCACATCTGTACACTTAGGTTATGATCGATATCTCATGCGGGCTAACTCTTCATTGATACTTACATAAACTTAGCCCAAGATGGATCAATAGCCCAAACTATATATCTATATATATATATATATATATATATATATATATATATATATATATATATATATATATATATATATATATATAGACACACACACACACACACACATATATATATATATATATATCACTGATTTACATAATCAGTCCCCGTTAATTTAATTAGTCTCTTGTGATTATTAAATTAATTCCAAATTTATTCTTGATCAAT